CCATCAGACCATATAACTGAAGGTTTATAATTTTCAACGATTTCTTTCAATTCAGGTAATGTTTTCGTCTATAAATTCAATTATTCTTCTTCTTCTTCTTGAACATTTTAGAAATATTCAACATACGTTCGGAAACAATTGTGTTTGAAAACCATTCTTTTTATCTTCTAAATACAATGGATGAAACCATTCATACATTGAATGATAGAGACCAAAAACAAGATCAGTTCGATTGCGAATAGCATTAGCTAGATCGCCTGAATATAGAAAACAAAGAACAAATTATTAAATTAAACAATCATTAATAATCTACCAAGTAAATCTCGTTTTGGACCAACATCCATAGCATTCCAATTGAATGAATATTTTGATGGCCATAAAGTAAAACCTTCATGATGCTATACAAAAACAAAATAATTATAATAATTTGATGTCTTTTATATGAAAGTATAAATTAACCTTGCTTGTGAGAACGATATATCTAAATGAAAAAAAAACTAGAATAATCAGTATTAGAAATAAATAATATATATATACTTTGCACCAGATGCAGCAAATATATCAGCCCATTCATTAGGATCTACCATGGAAATAATTGTTCGATATAAAATAAGTGAAGAATGATGTGTATTTACCGTAAAATTCTGCATGAAATTGTGCAGCAAAGTCTGCATATGTCCAATCGGGTGGATAATTTCTATTCATAAAAGCGACAAGTTCTGGATTTGGATTGTCTCCTTTCCAATCCCACCACATCCTATATAAATGAAAATCAAAAAAATAATTCGTATTCTATTATTGATGAAAAATAGAAATTCAACATTGATTGATTTTATACAAGACAAGTATTCGAAAACGTACCATTCGGATACGATTGATGGAACACTGAAGACACCCCAATGAATAAAGATACCGATTTTGCTTTCATCATACCATGCAGGTAGTGGGCGTGAATCTAATGAATTCCAATCTGGTGTATATTGTTGTTCACTGAGCGGTAAAAGAAAGCAACAAACAACAGTAACATATATTACTGTTGTAAAAGATCGCATTTTGCTTATTCGTAAGAAACAACCGTAAATGAGGCTAGGGTATCTCCAAAATGAATATATATATAAAGCTATGCTTCTGATATACTCAAGGAGAATAGAAGATAAGATAAAACGCCTATAGATAATAATATACGATACAGTGTTTTAGATATTTCTAAACTAAGACCCTATCATGAAATGCTTTTTTGTCAAAATTACAATGTCATGTTATATTTAGTTAACTAATGTTTAAAAAATGATTTATTTATAAATAAAAAAAATAAATCCATGTAAATCAATCATATAGAATATATCATCACTAATGCAAGCGGCTTATCATGACATGTTTGAAGATTACCTAGTACTTTTTTTTTTTGTTGAAGTAATAGTATTAGGTATCATGATTATTTTCTAATGACTATGATACTTGTTGATTATCAAATATCATACACAGGATAGCTCAGAAGTCCGAAAGAAAAACAACCTGAAAGTCTTCCCTATATCTTGACTAAATGAAGCGATTTTTTTATCAGTGATAAAGGACTGTTCATAGGTCATATTCATAAGAGAAACATTGATAAAAACACTGATTTTAAGCATCTTCGTTGACTTGAACTATAACCTTTCACAAGTTATGGGAAAATCATATTGCAGTTTTCTCAACAAATTCTTACTATTTATGGTTGAAATTTTCAGGATGCAATGAGTAACAAGACATGTATCTACGGCATAAATATCAAACCAAACGAAAATAGTCTGAAGAATCAATTGAGAAAAGATTACAGTTCTTTATCAAACTCAGCGATGATACTTCGAAGCAGTATTTTTATCAATGTTTCTCTTATGAATATGACCTATTCACACTCCTTTATCACTGATAAAATAATCAGCCCATGTGGTCAAAATATTGCGGAGATTTTTAGTTTTTTCTTCTGTTGATAAAATGACTTTTCAACCATCGTGTATTCATTTATTCAATATGATTTTATTACTGTGCTTTATTAATAATAATGAATGGTAATTTTAAACTTGTTTTGTTGTTCGACATAAAAGACAATTACATAAGAAACTAGTACAAAACTAATGAAGAAATCACAAGAAAAAAGGAATGAAAGAAAATGAGAATAAAGTACTATAGAAAAAAAGAACTTGAATAACAATGTCAACTTATGGAACGAATATTCAATAATCATAGATGATATCATCCTGATTTTGATTTAATAACTCGCTACCACTAACATTTTCCAATTTAAATACCCATGCCCAATCACTTGCAAGTGAATAGGTTTTAATATTAGATACATCAATAATTATACCACCACTTTCACTAGCTGGACGCCAATTTAATGGACCAACATCTGAACCAAGAAGTGTTACACTTGTACTTGATGAACTAACTGGTGCACCTAATGTAATTTCAGTTGTATTTTTTGACCAAACAAGAAGACATGCATAAACAAATTGTTTATCTTTCGATGATGTATACCTTGCGAGTAAAAAAACAAAGTGAAAATCTTAAAATTCTTCTTTTAATTAAAAACTTACCAAACATCTTTGTTTGTTGTATCATTTTGATATTTCCATGGAATACTACTATAGATAGCTTCACCATTCACTTTCAACCATGAACCCATCTGTCGAAGACGTTCTTCAAATATTGGTGCAATTTTTCCATATGATGTTGGACCAACATTAATCAATACATTACCTCCAGTACTAAATATCAAAAAAACATACAAATACATTCAATGATAAATAGTCTAATAACCTGATAGTAGTAATAATTTCATTAAGAAGCTCTTGAATAGTGAGATAATCATTAGCACCCGATGTACGAATATAACCCCATGAATGTTTGTCGATCTGTCAAAACAAAATTAGATTAGACTTAAATTATTGTCAACAACAAATGACATACAGTAAAACAATTTTCCCATTTATGTTCAACAAGATGTCCTGGATTATAATGATCCGTACATGTATAAAAACCACCATGATGACATGGAATTCCACTACCCCATCGATCATTGACAACCTTTTAAAATAATATCTCTAATTTAGAGAACAATAAATCATAGGAAAGAAGAAAACTTACAACTGTATCTTTTACAGGACTTTCATTATAAAGCCATGCAAGAAATCCTGTTGAATTCCAATAAGTATCTGATGCCTCTAAAAAGTTTCTTGGAAAAAAATATTTAAAAGAATAAAGATGGTTTCTATGTACAAACCCCAATCGCCATCAGACCATATAACTGAAGGTTTATAATTTTCAACGATTTCTTTCAATTCAGGTAATGTTTTCGTCTATAAATTCAATTATTCTTCTTCTTCTTCTTGAACATTTTAGAAATATTCAACATACGTTCGGAAACAATTGTGTTTGAAAACCATTCTTTTTATCTTCTAAATACAATGGATGAAACCATTCATACATTGAATGATAGAGACCAAAAACAAGATCAGTTCGATTGCGAATAGCATTAGCTAGATCGCCTGAATATAGAAAACAAAGAACAAATTATTAAATTAAACAATCATTAATAATCTACCAAGTAAATCTCGTTTTGGACCAACATCCATAGCATTCCAATTGAATGAATATTTTGATGGCCATAAAGTAAAACCTTCATGATGCTATACAAAAACAAAATAATTATAATAATTTGATGTCTTTTATATGAAAGTATAAATTAACCTTGCTTGTGAGAACGATATATCTAAATGAAAAAAAAACTAGAATAATCAGTATTAGAAATAAATAATATATATATACTTTGCACCAGATGCAGCAAATATATCAGCCCATTCATTAGGATCTACCATGGAAATAATTGTTCGATATAAAATAAGTGAAGAATGATGTGTATTTACCGTAAAATTCTGCATGAAATTGTGCAGCAAA